GACGTTTTGCCCATCTCTGTGGCCGGTCAGAGCAACAGGAGTCGGAACTCTGTCCATGCTCTGTTCTACTCCTGTCCTCTGAAAATGCCAGCCACAGAGACTGGCGAAACGTCAGGAAGAACCACCTTCAGAACACGGCAAAAGAGCCCGAAAAACCCACAACAACCATCAGATCCCGGCCGTGAAAGCCTTCACGAATCCTTCCACCTTTCTCCTTAAAAAGGCTTTCACGGCAGGGATCCGATGGTGGATTTGGGGGTCCTGCCTTGAGCGGGGCGGATGGACTCGATGGCCTTGCAGGCCCCCTTCCGGTGCCATGATTCTTCTACAATTAGATAAACCTGGGAGTTTTTTAAAAAGCACCCCTTTAAAAAGAATAAATTCTCACTTAGCACCATCAGCTGGATTTTTATGCTTCGCTCTGAGTTGGCTGCCATCGGATCCCAAGTCAATACCCATAAAAGTTGCCGTCTACACCTATTTAATTCTCCCACCGAAACCAGCATGAAGTGCACAGAACTTGCTCACACGGTGCAGGTTCGAGAAGTGGACCGCAAGGGTGTTGGTTTTACTCCTCCTGGTGTTTAGGCCCACATGAGCACAGGACGGAAGCAGACTGGCTAATAGAGCCATCCTAAACATCAGGATCATTGAATCACTGCGTTGGAAGGGGCCTTGGAGGACATCGGAGTCCAACACACACACCCCAGCTCCAGGCAGGAATAGCAAAACAAAGCAGATCTGATGATGGCTGTCTTAATTTCCTCTTGAAGGCCTCCAGTGTTGGAGTGCTCACCACCTCTGGAGGTGATTGACACATTGCTCTCACATTTAAGAAACATCAGGATCATTGAATCACTGCGTTGGAAGGGGCCTTGGAGGACATCGGAGTCCAACACACACACCCCAGCTCCAGGCAGGAATAGCAAAACAAAGCAGATCTGATGATGGCTGTCTTAATTTCCTCTTGAAGGCCTCCAGTGTTGGAGTGCTCACCACCTCTGGAGGTGATTGACACATTGCTCTCACATTTAAGAAGTTTTTTTGGAGTGCTCACCACCTCCCGAGGTCATTGTCACATTGCTCTCACATTTAAGAAGTTTTTTTTCCCTGATATTCAGCCTAAATCTGGCTCCCTGCAGCTTGAGCCCATTCTTATGCGTCCTGGACCCTGGGATGATTGAGAACAGATCCTGCCCTTCCTCTGTAGGGACTGCCTACAGTTTACCCTATCAAGGCTAAACATGCCCAGTTCTTTCAGTCTTTCCTGAAAGAAGGTTTCCAGTCCCCTCGGATCATCCTTGGGACAGGCAGCTGTGACTCCAGATGTTTTGGGAGGCGAACAATTATGGGACATGTAGGGCCACCATTACCCATCAGTGCGACATGTACTGCTACACATGTGCACTCAATAAAATTTTAATTACTCTTGGGTAAATGGGCAAACCGCAGAAGCCTCTGGGCTGCAAGGTCAGAAGACCTGCAGTCGTAAGATCGAATCCACGTAATGGAGGGAGCACCCGTCGCTTGTCCCACCTCCTGCCAACCTAGTAGCTTGAAAGCGTGTAAAAATGCAAGTAGCTAAATAGGTACCACCATGGTGGGAAGGTCACGGCGTTCCGTGTCTAGTCATGCTGGCCACGTGACCATGAAAGATTGTCTTTGGACAAACACTAGCTCTATGGCTTGGAAACGAGGATGAGCACCGCCCCCTAGAGTCGGACACGATTGGACAAATTGTCAATGGGAACCTTTACCTTTAAGTGGATATAGGAATTGTCAAGGGGAACCTTTACCTTTAAGTGGATATAGAATTACAAGCAACAAGTGCTCAACGCATCAGAACCAGGCTTTCCCGTGTTACCATGCTACTCTGTTACCATAATTACAAGCAACAAGTGCTCAACGCATCAGGACCAGGCTTTGTGTTACCATGCTACTCTGTTACCATGTATGTATCTATAATTTGTGTCACAACAAACACTGTTTTAGTTCGCTAGTAACTGTTGATTCCCAGAGAGGTCCCCTACTCCAGAAAAGAATGTTTCAGATACTTTTGGAGAGAAAAGGCCCCAGTTTTGTAAACTGGAAAACTTGGTGGACTTACTCTTCTAAACTACTGCTCCCCACTTTGCTGATGGCAGAGCCCATACTTAAAGAGTCTAGGACCTGGTTCTGAGGTCATTGCAGCTGATTCTTTCCAAATGATGATGTAGGGAAATCTGTTAAAAGAACAAGAATGTGCTCTGAACTAATGAGCCACAGAGAGGTTTCAATGCTTCTAATTACTGTATTACTGTCTTTTGGGTAACCCGGATGTTCTTGGACTACAACTCCCAGAAGCATCCACCACCACCTCTGCTGGCCAGGATATCTGGGAGTTGTAGTCCGAGCACATCTGGAGGCCCACAGTTGGGGAGCCCTGTTTTAGACTATCCACATACGCAAAAAGTTTTGTTCTCCAGTTGTTGCATAGAAAATAGGAAGGATTTTAGCAAATTTAGAATTTCAAAGAAGAAGCATGTCTGTATCATAAATGAAATTATACACTATGGACAAAATCTTAAATGTTTTCTGAACTAGAAAACAGAGTGAGACTTGTACCTGAATAAATACATGTAGAATTACAATGTATATATACTGCTTACAGTATATCCTCTGAGGAGAGGGACGTGAATGTAAAATTATATGCCGTGCGAATCCATTATTAAGAGATTTAAAATATGTAGATAAACTATATAAACACAACACTGAATATCATATGCTTGTAACAGATTACAGGGATGTATACTCCCTAGAGAAGCCCTTTTAGTCTATTCCATAGTGGTATATACGTAACACATTTTAAGTGCAAGTCAATACAGATAAATGTGTTGATCCACTTTAACACGCCCATTTGGGGGCTCTGATTTCCACCAGAAGCAGGACTTCTGTAAAGCTAATGGGTCTTAATTGCTCATTTAAAACTGAAGTACCTCCAAATATTTTGGATTATGAGACATATAGCTCATGCCAAGACATTGTCACTGGGGAAAATCTATATTTCCTCCAGCTTCTGTGGACTAGGGTCCCCTTTTCAGATCCGTGAAATTTTACCCACAGCAAAACCTTTTAACCTTTAAGGCTTTTTGCTGCTTTTGCTGAAAGAGATTAAAATGGCTGCAATCCTGCAGGGAGGACTCTAGGAATAAAGTCTCTTTTGCACTGGGATTTAAAATCTCCGAATTCAGATTATGTTGAAATCAAACATTTATTTAGAATTCAGTCCCAAGTAACTGTACCTGGGATTACAATCTCAGTCTTGACGCTAGACAGTCAGATTATGTTGAAATCAAACATTTATTTGGAATATTTGGAATTCAGTCCCAAGTACCTGTACCCGGGATTACAATCTCACAGTCATGATGCTGGACAATACAGTGGTGCCCCGCTTGACGATTACCTAGTTGTACGACGAATCCGCTGTATGATTAGTTTTTTGCGATCGCTATTGTGATAACAAAATGATGTTTCAATGGGTTTTTTTCGTTTGACGACGATCAGTTCCCTGCTTCGGGAATCAATTTTTCACTTTATGACGATCAAAAACAGCTTATCGTCAGGTTTTCAAAATGGTCGCTCACTGTGCAAAATGGCTCCCCGCTGTATTCAGGACGGATTGCCCAAAATGGCTCCCCGCTGTGTTCAGGACAGTTTTGCCCGCATTACAGGCACCGGAAAATCGCCGTCCTATGGAGGATCTTTCCTGGACGGTGAGGTATTTCACCCATTGGAACGCATTAACGGGTTTTTAAAAGCATTTCAATGGGCTTTTTACTTTTGCTTGACGACGATTTCGTTCTACAGCGATTTTGCTGGAACGGATTATCATCGTCAAGCGGGGCACCACTGTATTAGGTGTCCCTGCACAGATTCACTTCTTTCCCTCAGTCAGCATGTGATTTAGCTGCTGGCTATCCAACTGTACAATCCTGGCACAGCAATGTTGACTTAGAAGTCCTATATTCCTTCCATACTAATGCGGGTGGAACATAAAGGTAAAGGTTCCCCTTGACATTTAGTCCAGTCATATCTGACTCTAGGGGGTGGTGTTCATCTCCATCTCCAAGCCGGAGGTGTTCATCCCCGTCTCCAAGCCGTAGAACTGGCGTTTGTCCGAAGACTGTTTCTGTCATCACGTGGCCAGCACGAGTAGACATGGAACGCCGTTACCTTCCCACCATGGTGGTACCTATTTATTGACTCGTATTTTTACATGCTTTCGAACAGCTAGGTTGGCAGGAGCTGGGACAAGCGAAGGGAGCTCACTCCGTCGCGTGGATTCAATCTTACAACGGCTGTTCTTCTGGCCTTGTTGCCCAGAGGCTTCTGCGGTTTCACCCGCAGCACCACCATATCCCACATAAACCTGGAACATACCTCCAGGTTAATGTACTTAGGATTCCAGCCAAAGGCTGTAACTGCCTTGTAAAAAATCAGATTATTTATCCATATAGTCCAGTATCATCTTCTCTGACTGGAAACAACTATAGGATTTCAGGCTTTTCCCATCTCTTTGCTTGTGCGATTCTTTCAAAATAGGGTGCCAAGAACTGAGGCTGGGATATTCAGCATGCAAAATCGGTGCTGCACCTCCAAACTATGATTCCCTTTCCCCCTCAATTTGGAGCATCAGCTAGACTAATAAGAGATGATGATCTTATCCCACATCGAAGCCTCAACTTTGTTCAGGTGACATCAAGAGCTATAAAATTCATCCAGAAAATGGTATTAGAAAATGGACTTCCATCCACATATAGGTTGCAACCCAAGCAATATGTAGTGCAATGACATCAGCACACTGTACTTTGATCTCACTGAAGTTACAGACGGGAAAG